CGACCAAAGCGTGATTCTGTCACTCAATCGATGCCTTACTATTGTCCATTTTTAATTGCCGCTTTGCCTGGGGATTTCTTACGTTGTCTGTGCCTCTATTCTTGATGTTCGATAATAGAACCTATTATTCGTTCAATTTATATTTTACTGTATTTTATATGATTTATATTATTTCGTATATATATATATATTTGGAAGCAGGCCCAGAATCATATATTTGTTAGTAACCTTCATTCAATGGAGATTAAAGACTAACTCATTTAAACAATAATGCGTTAATCGTCCATGTTCGTAGTAGTATGTTGTGGCAAAACTCTAAATCTGTTTTCAAAACAGAATTGATAGGGTAACTATGACGTAATAGCGATCATTGACCAGAGTGATATTACGTTGCATTATCATGTCATATATTCTGAAATAATTAAAATACAATAATGTTAATATTTCTTCACATGATAATATATCTGTCAATTTGAACTTGTTCGTGCATCTTTTCACAAAATTTATGAAATAAAATACAACTTTTATTACTGTTGCTATTTATATTAGTTACGTCAATGTTAATGTCTGATAGCAAATAATATATGGATTTAGACAAATCGAATGGGTAATAAATCTGCTTGAATTGTATGTAAAAAGCCATACAACGTCTACGTTCACGTTACTCAGAATCGTTAGTTAGAAAGGCAAAAACCCTTTGAAAGAATCGGTGAACAACCCAGAAACGTGTGAATTGTGTCATAATTTCGCAAAGTCGTCTATTGCTTGTAAAGTAACCACACACAAAAGCATTAATGATTTTGTTATTCTGTACTATTAAAAACCTCTAAATATATTAGAATACGAATTATCAAAGTTGGCGGATGTACCGTTATCCGCCATAAAAAACAACTTGACGTCCAAATACGCTTAAAAGACTTAATAGCCTTTTTACAGTACAGCATTTCTAAGCGTGATATGATTTGAACATTTTACAACAGCAGTGATAAGGCTGAGCTCTGAGTGCAACGTCTGATATGAATATGGAACAATATATGCTAAGACCATTAGCGTTGCTTCACAGCTCTCGGATATCTGTTACATATTTCACCAGTCTTAAAAGCTGTACATTTTATGGTACAATAAACTCTGTGAATAAATGTATCGTTATGTTTTAATACAGTACGATGCACTACGATATCAGGTTGACTGCTCATCTCGAAATCCCATTACAATGACTTAAGGCGTAGATTTATCACAGCCGCTTCTCTATTCTTTAACCGTATGATGCTTCGCTACAACCCAGACACTACGCGACCTTTGACATTTACACGTGTGAATCAAATAAAATCGCATAATCATAATAGATCGCACTTAAATTGACGATTTTTTTTTTCATCCACCTAAAAGGCAATTTACATGTCAGAGTATCATAGCGTCCATGTGTGCTATCATGTTGTGCCTTGATAGGCGGGGTCGCTTACTCTCAGTCTTATCTACATTGCACCAATGTAATACGTAATACGAAGATAACCAACACAACATGTGATTACCCAATGCGATGATAAAACCCAACATATAATAATCATCCGGATATCTGTCCGTAAACTAGAAATTCCTTTACCATGGAAACGAAACTATTCATTATATTTTACATAGATCGTTAATACAACTGCCTTTTCATCCCGTCCCATGTTAAAAGTACAGTCAACACGTGATTTTAGACATATCATCAATTACATATTCTTAGTATCCTTTTATTTTCCAAGTGTGCTTCAGTGAGCTTCAAAATACTATTCTAATAAAGAGCCAACTACTACCAACTGGTTTGTATTGTCATAAAATCTGCAAATACAAACCCCGTGGCTGAGAGTCTGCTCTCAAATAGCGTTAGCGTCCACATGGCTCACCAGCTTTTCATTTTTGAAAAATGTATCATTCAACCATCCACATCTTCGTCAGAAAAACAAACAAATAAGCTATATACAGCGGGGAATGAGAATCTTGATTGCTTAATAGGTCATTTCAAATGTACATTTCGAAAAGTACATCCATCCTTAAAATCATTTCCGACATAGTGCGTGTTTCACGCGTGAAGTAGGAATATGTGAAATGAAAATAAGCGCAAAATAAGACACGGTTTCTAAGGCGAGTTAATTGCTCGTTTGTAGTCAAATGATTGGCCAAGAATGCTAAGAACTTTGATCATCGGACAATTCGACATGTATAGAACAACTTGAAATGTCTGATGTAAATGTTAACTTAAAACGTCCATTGTTTTCAATCACGGATGAGCGGTTTTAAGAGTAAGCTGGTCGTTCCGTTGATACTTTTAGACAATTGAACGGCTTTTAGACGTGTTCTGTTGTAAATTTATTACACTAAATGTAATTAGCATTTGGTATCTCACCAAACAAAAAAAAACATTATCCGATTGCCTCAGAAGATAGATAATGTTGTAACTCAATTGAAATATGCTCTATGTCTGAGAACGCACAACTATTTTCACTGACTAATTTGGTAATTTATTGGGTATTTATGTGCGTGAGTGGTATTTATAGACAGCTGGTTTGAACATGGTTAATGTGGTCGGTTGCTGTAATCACCTCATGTTCGTCACGCTCTGTTAGACTACCCACATGTCCATAAATAATATACAGATAATACTAAGCCGCTTACAATGCACATGCTGTTTTAATATGAGCATCTGAAAGATAACATCATATACCCATTTCAGACAAATCCCATGACTAATCAGCGGCACTCAATCAGTTATTTGTGCACAGCATGTAAATTATTTTCAAAAATTGAGATCACCTGTTATAGTGATAATGTATGTGTGTTCAACGTCACGCTAATGGCATTTGGAAAAAAGGTTGAAAGGTGTCTCCCGAAGGTTCAAAGTCGACAATTATATTGTCAAATTCAAAATCAGAGCCATTTTTGTCAGTGCTGTTAACTCAAGCACTTTTATATTTATTATACTTTGAAATAATTGTCTTATAATGGTTACTGGAGGCGTGTAATTCGAAGAACAACATTACATACAGATTCACTTGGTGAGAATGAACGCTAAACTCCGTATGTCAAACATTTAATGCAAATTCTATAAGACTCCTTTGTCGTGTACTTTACATTCTGATAAAACTAACCATTACAATTCACAGTAATATGGTGTTTTTCATTTTGCCAAATATCTTTTTGATTTTCTTTTTTCCCCAATTTTATTGATTCTACATTCCAGCTCATAAATTGTTTCCTGAACTTCGTGATCGGCTGAACACCCCATACCACGCGACAGTATGGCTGCCTTTGTTTCATTCAGACGATCGAGTTTCAGTTATTTAATGTAATTTAATGCATACACAATAACATGTCTTTATTGTACATGCGAACCTGTAAATGGTTTTCATATCAAAACACCAGTAAGATCGTACTCGTACTAAAATTAGCTTCTTCAAGGGTTGCCTGCCGTGCACTGAAAGACGTACAGTTACGCAAAGGTGTGGAATATTGGCATCAACAGTCACAAATGTGTATGAAGAATAACAAACGTATGCAAATATTCATTTATGGGGTCGTTCTATAATATTGTATATGATATATCAGGATTAACCAAATAAAAATATATTAGTCTTTAATGGTATTATGAAATGGATACGTAAACTAAGAAAGTCATCAGTAAATCAGAAACAGAATTGTACAATATATACAAATATACATTAGTGACTCACTCGTTCACTACTCCGCTCTACTACAGTCGTTTTAGTTTTTGTTAATATCTGGCACCTCTTATTTTGCTATTACCTCTGCCGGTGAAGTTTTTTTTTTTTTTGGTAGCCTTTGTTTGTCTTAGCAGGTCACCAAGTTGAGTCAAAATTCTGCCAAATCGATACTTTACCGCGAATTTGATGTATCTTCGATTGTTACGGAAGAACACTTCGTCATTAGGAAATAACCATTGAAGTGATAGTGAATGAATGAAGGGGAATTAATGACGGGCAAACGTCACAATATAAAGGGGATAAGAGCTGCTTGGTGGAGGTCTGCGCTCACGGAGTGCATTATACATTAAACCAAACTGGCATGCTGTCTTCAAGCAAAACAGAAACTAAAACTAAAACCATTGTCGCTCGCCTTTGGAGTTTGTGAGTAAATATGTATGTTGGGAGTTGAGTGATAGTAAATACATTCCATAATGTACACTATATTGGGACCATGGTGCTAAAAGTAGTCAAAAGAAAAATTATATTTCAAATATCAAAGTTTTGTTGGGGAATATATACAACTATAATAATTGCATTTGTTGTCACAGTGCACAACGTGTATCAAATCCATTTGATTAACGAACTCATTTCAAATTGTTGACATTCTTACTTAACACGTTTGGTGGTTGGCAAACTCCAGTTTATTTAATGCATTACATTAGCCTCAAAATCAAAAGGCGTAGCCATGGTAACCGAGGTAGTTCGCTTTACCTGTCGTTATACGATCCCCTTTCATAGATAGACCGAAGGCAGTATTATGCTTGTTCGCTGCACGAACGTTTCACTCTTCCGTCCTACCGGTGTTTATGACACTACATGTTGGGTATTCAGGTTCTCATCCTAATCGGGGCGTTTATGGTAGAATTGAATACTGAATAATCTGAGTCGCCGTGACGTAGACGCGCAAATCTGTGTGTTAACTCTGGTTAGTGCTCTCTAGGCTATGATTAGTATGTTATTACGTGTAGTTGGGCGTCGTAAATCAGCCATACCGTACCATACACTAAGATAGTAATGACTTGTATTCTCGGCATTCTATCTCCATATCTCCTTGCTTATAGCAGTACTCCATGGGATACTAAGAAGAGTGTTACAGTTCAGTGATGATTCTGATATCCACCCATGCGAACAACCTTGACGCTAAGCAGAACATATTCCCGTTCTATTGTAATGGAACTGCGATGTATTCACCTTTTTGCGTTGTTCGTATAATGTGATACGATACGATACGTTCGTTGATTTGTTATTATGACGATGACACCTAACTCTGTGATGCATCGGGACTGGTCGATCCCCTCCATTGTTCTACCCACTGCTGCTACACGTAGGAACAAGGTGCAAAGTATCGTCCGTGAATTTAATGCGGTTGTTTCGGAAACACTGACTGGATATTTATCACGGGGACCTGCATACAACGCAAGTGGAGCTGGATTTGCCGCGCCTTCTGGCTACACGCAGTACAATATCAACAATATTAGCGTTGTCGGTTTAAATAGCTCTGTCCACGACTCGTTCGACTCCGATGATGGCAGAAATCGTTATTTAGTATACATCATAACTGTGTTTCTCTCATTGATGGTTTTGATTACTATCGTTGCCAATTTTCTCATACTTCTAGGATTCTGTACATCGACAAAGCTTCACAAACCCACAAACTATTTCTACGTGAGTATGGCTATTTCTGACTTTGCCGCTGGTATATTGGTATTGCCTCTTGCCGTCTACGATTGGTTCCAGAATGAGGATTGGCAACTTGGCAAAGGTATATGCGTGTTTTGGGTTAGCATGGATTTTTTTCTTTACACTGTGTCGGCATACAATATGTGTGGTATCTGCTTTGATCGCTATCTAGCTATTTTTCACGGATTCTGGTACCGGCCTAGGCGTTCGGGAAAGCTCGTGTTAAAATTTATCTTCGCTGCATGGATATTCGGGTTTCTTTTACAAGTCCCGGTTATTGCATTGTGGGAAATTGTATCAGGGAACAGCACGATTGATTACGATGAGTACTGTGACGTAGAGTTCGCCAACCATTCCGTGTACACAACAATTGCCATGTTCATTTCACCGGTCATACCATGTACGTTTATATTTATTCTTTACTTACGAATTTATCTCGCGATAAGAAGAAGATCTATAAAAAGGAATTCTAGCATTGATAAATTACTGACCAGCACAGAACGCAGGGTCACAGGGTCGGGTCAAAAAGCATCAGGACATAGGAAAAGGAAGAGAACAGAATGGATCAATTTAAAGGAAATACGGCCTCAAATGAACACAAGGGTTATTCTGGGACATAAAATCGCTGGTGGGAGAACTCATCGTTACAAAGAGGCTGCCAGGTGTGAGAGGGAGTTTGATGTATGTAATGACCCGGGGCGAGGAAGATCGCCTAATCGACACCATATTGAAGATTCAAATCGACGAAACATTGTCAATAACAGAAATGCATCAATCGAGACTACGATTAGTGGAGACAGCGCCACCTCAACTAACTTAAACGTGAGTTTGAAAGAAGATAACAATTCAGCTGCAGAGGGCGATAGTGATCGCGAATTTAACGAGTTTCAACTAAATACAAATACAAACGAGAAACGATTAAGTCGAGCTTCAAATTTAAGTTTGGGTGTGTACACAGATAAAAGCGTTCAGGGGACTCCATACAAAGATAGAAAACCCAGAAATAAAGTTATTATCGGGCAATCTGCCAGCGATAGACGAGCAGCAGTACTGCTAACCATATTGGTTGGTTTCTTTCTGGTGTCATACGCTCCCTGGGTCATTATCAGTATAGTGGAAGCTGTATACAATGACGATATTTCGTTTGCTGTCTATACAACCGCAGTTTGGTTGCAATATGTCAATTCGTTGATTAACCCTTTTCTCTATGTTTACCAAGATCTCGATTTCAGGCATGCTGTCCTGGCAGTTCTGAGACTGCGCAGAGACAAGGCCGGGATTGATTTGTCGTCCTATTCTGTGTAGTGGAATGTGATATTTATATACTGACATTTCAGCAGCGGTTGGTGTCTTTTATTATTATTTTGAACTTCCTCATCATAACTTAGATAATACAAATTATTGTAACATAATTACCCACATTTGACAAATTGTCCATTCTTGATGTGTTCATAGTTAAAATGTAAACACATTTAACACGTTTGCTGGATGATTTTCAGAACCATTGCAGATATTGTGAATGCTAACGTTGAGAAATTTGCATAATTTCCTAATTATGTAAAATAACCATTCATTATTTGCGCATTTATGCAACTGAACTTACTTGACTCTAAAGAGTTCGAAAACAGCTGACAGAACTATACATATTGCGCGACTTGATATAACAACTTAAAATAGCTTTTGAAGTGTGCGTTGATATAAAAGAATCAATTTCAATTAAACTAATAACATGATTTCGTGCATTTATATCAAGGTGTGACTTTGAATGAGATTTTGAATACTATTTGTTTGTCATGTGAACGAGGTAGATATGATTCACGATTGTGACGTTTAGCGTGAAATATCACTGCTGGTATAGTACCTTGGCATTATTGTATGCGTGTACGCAGAGAAAACAAAATTGTTACATTACCGTTTTATCACAGCGATATAAAAATTACAAGCTAGATAACAACTATTATTTGCATGGTACAATGGCAATAACTCATAATTATTTTTGCAGAAATTTTATATTTTTATTTGTAAAAAATGTCTCTCTGGCCGTGACTGCTCAAATGCACTATCATCTTGTGCTCAGACGTCTTGCTAATTAGCATAAATTAGCACTTCATTCTTAAAATTACAATTCACTGTCTTTTCGACACTGGTCACGTTTATCATAAGATTCCGAATTTATCGCCTGATATTATATAGTTATAGTCGGCTACATTGTCCGACTTTTTTGGGGTCAGAGTATGTTATGTCTAGACACTGGTTTATTTTGACTCATTTAATTTAAATTACAAACAGTGTCACTATCAATTGTTCAACTGCTCTGATTTCCGCTGTATCATTCTATGACGTCATGTCAACCAGTGATATCAGGTGATGACATCATAGCACAAAACTAATAATAATAACTAAATAATACCGATTAGTATATTATTGTCAACGATAGAATAATGATTTATTATTTGCATACTTTAGTACATTTAAATGTGTGATATCGCAATGCTACAACCTTTGTTATTGTATTCCGTGTGTTGAATGGATACACTCATAATGTCAACAACATTTTTTAGTATGGTAACTGCGTGATAATTTGAATGGGAAAACTTCAGAAATCTGAAATGTAGTTTGTATATTATACGATAGTTATTTTTTTTCTAATGCAAATAAGTAGATCGGAAAGTATATACCTATGCTGAATTATAATGCTGTTGATCCGGGTTTACTGCACTATATAAGTCTGGATACGCTACGTTACCACGGGAATATTTACTCGTCCAATTACTGTTAATGGATAAATTAAAAACCTGTAAAAAAAGTGTGCTCTCCGCCTGTGAACCTGAAAGTTTGTAATACAACAAAACAAGTATCACTCAACTTATACGAAATGAATCACCCGTAAAACATAACATGCACTTAGCATGTGAAATTCAATTTCTTATAAGTAGATATTATTGTCAGCCTGAGGCAATCTAATGAATAGGTCCAAAATGTCTGGCCGTAATAAAATATCAATATCCGAATTTATGTGCTCTTACCAAAAAAACAAAAGTGTTCTAAGACACCTGATAGGGGGCGCGGACACAAACGCACACACTCACAAATTATCCGCCACGTCGTACCCCGCCGATAATCACGTGATATAATACATATTAGACGCCAGCTTCATTAAAACATTTTTTTTCATAAACATCGGAACACACACAAAACAGAATTCAAAACGCAAATCCAAATATTTCTTAAACCTCGAATCATAATATAATAGTATATTATATTCACTCGTGTTATTATTTAACGTATCAAAATAATTATAATGTAGATTTTGATTTTATTTTTGGACTCCGTTACTTATTACTTGGATGAACGGAAATTATCATTATCGAGTTCATTTCGTAAGTCCGACCTTTTTATTTGTATTAACATATAATTTGAGTATCGAAGACATTCTTTAGTCTGAAGACCTATGTGTGCTTGAAATACAACAACTTCGAAGAAATGAGCATGATAATGGGTTTTAATTTATTCAATTATCTGATAAATAAACAGAAAATGTCCTACCTACATATTATTACATACTATCAATAAAGCGATTTCATGTGGTTCCGAGACAGCTGTGGTTTTATTGGGTGACGAACAAGTCTCGGGAAACTAGTATCACGACACCAGTTTTAATTGTGTTCGTTGGCTATTATAGAAATAGGTGACGTAACGCTGTCATGTGATCTTTTGATTATATCGTTCTTTTCTGTTGAAAGACAGAACCAAGATATTCATAATTTTTCACTTCAGTAAGCACATCAAACATCATATAGCTATACTAATTGACGTGATTGTATCATCAGCCGTTTCGTAATAGATGTTGCAGTTCATGTTTGTCGAATCAAGGTGTTTTGCTATTAAGCTGGTGTGCGCCATCACCTGGCTGTTTTGGGTAATATACAGCACATTAACAATGTACATGGAGTAAATGCAGCTCATTTCGTGCCTGAATTATTAAGTTATGTCCCCTACCGTCAACTTTCGCCAAGGTAGTAAAATTCTCTACATATGTTTCCAGCAATTAATCAAATTTACTCGAGATACTGATTAATACTCCGGAAGTAACGGAAATAAAAGAGCAAGCACGTCACGTTTTGACGTCAGATGAGATTTTTTTATCACAAATTATTGGACTGGAAACCATAACGAGGCAAACCAGCATCGAACAAATATCAATATAGAAGTCCGCACATTTAGTGTTTATTACACGTAAATCCCGTCGATATCTGCCGTATTTCCGCGAGTAGAAATACCAAGATTAATCAGCCGGATATTTCAGATTATCCGTATAATAATCCCGTTATCAATATAGTATTGTCGCTTTGGTTATGCTGTGTGTATGTTGTGAGGCATATTTCGTTTTTTTTTCCTCTTCGCAAACTAGCTATGTACACTCAATGTGTAATATGAGTGACGCACAGACACGTGGGTGCTTGTTGAGAATTGGCGGAGCACTCCATATCTGGCGAAAGAAATTATCATGACACTATACACATGCAATGGTTAAACGACGAATACCATTATTGCTACTGATTCACTATAACATTATAGGTAATATATGTCATGACAAATTTATAAAGTAAATATGTGTCAAATATGATAGCAGTGTTATCTGTGTCTTCTTTACCGTATCTGTGCAATTATTTGAGTATCTGGATAACTGAATGAAAATTTAGCGACTGACTTCCCAAATATGATGTGGTTGTTTTAATTCTTCAATTATCTCGCTCTTCATTAATTGTAAATGTATTGTTTTATTTATTTGAATTAGTATATCGAAGTACTCTTGGTAAAACAATAAGGTATTAAAAAAATATCTTTAAAAAAATAAAAAAATGCATAAAGTGCTCAGCGATAAGAAAGAATACAGACATATATCGGTTCTTTGAGATCACATAGCCCGCTCACATACAAACCTCACATGTATGATAACATAAATGAATTCATTACACAAACATTTCTGAGTTCTGAGCCCCCTAACTTGACGACAGATGTACTTTGTATGATTACCTAATAATTGACATTTAGGGATAGCACAGGACTTCACTGCAATAATATTTCGCAAGTGTCTATTAGCTGGTTCATTTCTTATATAATAATTACATGTGTACTCAACAGTACACGGCCTAGATAATCAAGTTAACTGGGCCGGGAGAAATATACTCAAAATGATCCAATTTCTTCGTACTTTCTTAACTAGCTATGTTATGTGCTTGGTTACGTCTATCCATACGGCATGTTACATAATTGCAGGTACACTTTGTACGGGAATGTATTTAATATCGTTAATTTGATGGTACGTAATTACTGTAAATACTATGTACGCAGTCTTTTGGATCAGATAATCTGACCCGATGCCCTCGATTTGTGTATGCTAACGAAGTATATATGTATTATTGGCCGTCGTGGTGTATATTATAGGTGAATACAATAACGCCCATATCCTTCACAAATAAGTTACAAAAAAAAAAGTAAACAGAACAAATGCTGACGCACATTAAGTGTATGAAACACCACGAGACAGAGGGGTGAGGGCGTAACTCGAAACAACTCCCGATGACTCTTGGTGTTACCTCTTATACATATTTTGCTGTTAATTACTATGCAAGATCAACATAAATCACTTCACTAAATTCAAAACAAACGTATTCTAGATGTCTAAATTTTACAACACTTAAAGGACTATCGTGATGTTCTATTTGCTACGGCATGTTTCAGTACATATGCACTAAATGGTAACACGACTAGTTTGTATGAGTGACTTAAGCGACAGTTTCATTATATATATATATATTTGAGACCCAAAAATGTTCACCACTGTGGGACACATTTCTCTAAAATGATTGATTTAATTTACTGAGTAAGTTTAAATATGGTAAATTTATGGTAAAGTTTTGTGAACGGCTCAAAACTGTAAGTTTCTTAATATTACTGGTTTTGAAAACAATAAACTGCTATACACTTTTATGACAATTTTTCAGCATGCGGAAACCATATAGCTATGAATCCATGCTATTTGTGTTACTCGCTTGATATAATAATTATTCCATTCCAGGCAAACATTCAGCTCTGCACCTAAATAGGTTTCACAGTTTGATGATTACAATTTCATTCCATGAAGAAAATATTGCATAGGTTCCACTACGTGACAAATGGATCACTTAGCATTTGATAATATTGAAATAAAACAGGCGATCTTCACACCAATTCTCCAGTATAACTAGGTCAGATTGCTTTGACTCAAAGTGTTCGTCATTTGTGATAACAGAATAACTTAA